AAATGAACATAACCGTATTTACACATAGATATTTATTTACAGGTATTTACAAACTATCTTTTTTCTGTGTTGGAAGATTATTTTTATTATGGAGGTGGCTGTTCAGGTTTTTTCTGCTGGCGCTGTTCTACCAGCCACTCCTCTAAAGATTTGCCACCAGAGACACTGGGGCAAAACGTGGCACTGCCGAAGCGGCTATGGCCGAACTCCTTGGTTTTGGGCTTGCCACACTTAGAGCATTTGTTAAAAGCCACTTCACGGACATATTTCCTTTTTTGCGCTCCACTGGCCTCCTCTTCTGCCCTGCGTCGTCTGTTCCTCTGAGTGAAGCGGGAGACAGACACTGCGGCAGTGGGAGCAGGAGCCTCTCGCACGTCAGGAAACACTGGAGTTGGAGCCAGGAGAGGAGCAGCTGAAGCGCCACCTGCACCAGCTGCAAGCAGTGTGGGCGCAGTGTTCAATAAAATGAACTGGGGCAGTGGCACAGGAACTGGGGGAGGAGTAGAAGCTGCTGGGATAATTGGCCGCACAATTGTAGCACTGGCAGGTCGTCTGCCCGGCCGTAGCTTAGGAGCCTGTCCCGCTCTGTTAGGAGGAAGGACAAACTCGTGCCGGGCCCCTGATGTGGAGGGAGCCTCATCCAGCTTTTCCCGCGGAGCAGGCAGCTGTGAGCTGGCCACAGCTATGCGGTCTTCTGCAGCAAGGCCCTGGGTAAGGACAGTCACTTCCTGGGTGTTCTCCCTTCGATTAAACCTGCAATCAAAAAATGTATTCATAATAAATAACTGCTATCCCTTTCTTTCAAATGTCAATGTAAAACCATGCTTACCACTGAGTGAGAGTCCTCTGATTCAGCATAAACAGCTGAAGTGACGTGGCCTCCATCAGAGTTTGGCAGTTCAGCACCAGGTCTCGGATGTGGTGGTAATCTGCGAGCACCTTAGTCCAACGAGGAAGACGGACTCCATCCTTCTTAGTTGGGGACTTGTGCAGTGCACACAGTTTGATGCACATGCCCTCAACTAAGCGACTTGTGCTGGGCCACTGAGCCGGCCCCCCAGGATGACCAATCAGGCACCTCTTCACACTGTCCACACCCGGTGTCACTCCTGTGTTTTTCGGAGCCTTGAAGCGTCCGTGGGTCAGTTTGGGCTGGTGTCTGGGCTGATAGTGGATCTTCCTCTTGTCCCCATCAGGAAGAGCAGTCCACAGACGGATGACCTCTGTAACCTGCTGCTCGTCCAGGTAGAGTGCCTGACGGAGGGACACCAGGTACTCAGCCAAATCCTGCACCTTATCCCAGCCTGCAACGCCATCGGGTCCAAGAACAGGAGCCTGCAGGTTATTACAATAACAATACACAGCATGTTAAATGTCAGAGTGCAAAAGCAAATAGAAACTAATAATGAGAAGCTTACTTACAGGAGCCTGGTCTGCAACACTGGACCCAGTTGATGTTGCAGGAGCAGAGGCAGCACTTGGCTGGACAGAAGGCCGTGGAGGAGACTGCAGAGGAGGCTGGGCAGGGCGCAGAGGAGGCTGGGCAGGGTGCTGCAGTCCTGTGGGTGGATGTAGTGAGGATGGTCCTGGTGCAGAGGGACAGGGGTTGAAGGTCTGGGGGCTGCTGCTGTGGACTGGGACAGGCTCAATGAGGTCATAGAGTACTGGCACTGTGAGGTCCTCAGGTTCCTCCTCAACAAAGCCTTCGTCCTGCACCACCTCATCAGTCATCTGCTCCACCAGCCGATCCTCCTCTTCTGGGTTATCCATAACAGTCAGGGATTTCCCAGACTGACTGTACAGATACTCCATACCCAGCAGCTCCCCTGCAAAAGAACACACATACAAAGCACATCACATTATACAAAGTTTATCACATTATTATAGCTGTAGTGGCTATTTGTCCATAACAAACTGAAACAAAAAAACAATCAAACTTTTCAAAGTTTGATCGTTTGTAGGCTTGATACAGTTTAACAGATCAATAAATGAAAATAATATACAAGAAGATAATAAGCATAAATGCACTCAAATTCACTTTAGCAAAAGAAAGCAAAGAAATAAGTCTAAAAAGGGTCAAATTAAGCCTAAATTAAACAAAGCACAAATAACTCCACCAATAGTTGAATTATTTGAAATACAATATAAAAAATGTACACTCAAACACTCATACCCCTGTATAATGTATAATCTTTTGTTTGAGTTAACATGAATAATTCTTACCTGTGTAAGCCCCTGGAGGCTGGTAGCGGTCATCCAGGGACACCTTCAGCACTTTGCGGCTGAGCCGGTCCATTGCCTCCCTCTCAATGCTACTGTAGATCCTCAGGTCAGTCTTTCCCCTCACTGCTTCATCCATCCGGTCCTGGTTCCAGCGCATCAGGCCTTCCAGGAGATAGGCCTGGAAATGCGCATCACTGGCACTGGTCCCTACAGGTCAAATAAAGTCAAATATATGTTACGTATGTATTCAGTATGGCAGAATAGGTTATAAAAGTTTAAAGTTTTTTGCAGGTTATAAAAGTTATAACCTACCTGGGATGAAGCGATTTAAATGGAGGTGGAAAGACTCCAAGGAGGTGGAGCCACGAGCACAGCGATAGCAGCTGAGCTCCACACCACCCTTCTTCAGTGTGTCTGTCTTCTGGTACAGAGGGAAGCCCTCTGGGTCCTGAATACAGGCGATGTGCCTCTGCTGATCTATCCAGACCTGTTGGATTCGCTCGTGGTCCAGCAATGGTACACCCAGAGTGTCCCTCCCCTTCTCACTGTCCATCTCATCAATGAGCGCCTTGATCCTCCAGGTGGTCTCCTCCACTCCTCTGGTCCGCTTCCGACAGTGCAGTGCCAACTCCTTCCTGGTGATCAGCTTATCCAGAGCCTTCTCTGAGACTGGACCAGCTCCTCTGGCCTGTAACTCCCCCTGTTTGGCCAACCGTAGAGCAGCGACATCATCAGGATCCAGCTCAAAGATGCACCTGGAAAGCCGAGCCATGAAGGTGCCGTAGAGCTGATGAGCCTCCGTGATGACACCTGCTGCAAAGCGCCGCATGAAGTGCCAAATGTCTAGGCGCACTTGGAGCTCATCCCACTCTATGAACATGGCTCTGACCTGCGACTGTCTGTGTGCATGTGGACTGCAGCAGTCTCTGTCCACATACATGATGGCGGGTGGTGCCACTCCCGCCTCCCTGTACCTCTTCATGAGACCCACCGCCATGGGCCACAATCCATGCCCCTCTGCCGCTGTGAGGACTGACACCAACACCTGGCCGTGCTCATTGCCAACATTAGTGCACCAACCAGCAGTGTTGGCAGCAGCGCCGGCCAGTTTTTTGGTGACCTAAAAACAGTAGAACAAAACAATTGTCAGAAAAATTTAAGATAATAACAATTATTATTACTCAAACTTCACTTTTTATACCTTTTTGGTGGAGTCCATCTTGAGGACAGAGCCAAAGACTGAGGTTATTTTGGCCTTGACCTCAGGTAGCCGCGAGAGGACGTCCCTGGCATACACAGACAACAGCCACTTGGGTTTGGGGATGGGTGGGAGGGGCGGGGGCGCAGAAAAGAGTGGAGGCTCAACAATGGAGGAGTCTGTGAAGGGCTCACAGACAGTGAGGTACTCCAGCGTCCGCTGTGACCACGCTGAGGTGTGCAGCTCCTGCAGCTTTTTGAAAAGCTGTGTGACACTGTTCCCCCGGGTCCTCTCCCGCATCATTATGACTACACGGTAGTCACACGAGTACCTACAGACAGTCAAATAATTATGTTCAGTGCCACATCTTATTATTTCAATGTCAGTAAAGCAACGTATTTGATTTTATACAGTACAACAAATTACAGTGCATTGCTCTAAATACGAATGTGTTCTACCTGTATGTCAGAATGGCGGGGAATTTTCTGCGGTGTCCCATGTCGAGCTGTCCCAGGATGTCTTCAGACCAGGCTGGATACTTCTTCTTGCACCCTTTGCACTCCAGATACTCTGTGGCCATGTCATACCACCCGTCTATGTCCAGGACCTTGCGCACAGTGCGATAAAGGCCAGCAGCTGTCAGCTTGTGGTTATTGCAGGCTGGCTGGACACAGACAAGTGGAATGGACCACATCTTCAGCGGCATCCAGAGGAACAGAGGGCGGCAGAAGAAAATATCAGGAGAAGTAGGGGGCTGGGTGAAGACGGTCGGGGGCTGGGGAGGGTACCACCAGAAGTTGGGATGTGGCACCAGCTCAGGCTTCCCTGTTTTTACGTTGGCCCTGAACAGAGTCTTCCTGATCCAGTCCTGCTGGAAAGATGGGAGTTGCTCTTTCCAGTGGACAGGAAGCTCTGCAGGCGACTGGGACACCTGGCCAGGGGTCCACAATGCTGGAGGAGCAGGATAGGGGGCAGGAGCGGGAGCAGGAGCAGGAGCAGGGCCTCTCGAGCCTGCAGTGGCTGGAGCGTAAAAAAACACAACAAAATTATCTTATTGTTTTAGACTTTCACTGCATGGCTTTCTCAGCTCTGCTGGACAGCTACTGCGATTACAAGGTTTACTGCAAAGCATGTATGATTAGTAGAGAGATGACATGATGATGAAAAGATGGAAGGAAGCAGTGAAAATAATCCTGTTTTTCATCCAAGCACCATTAGAAGAAATACAAGAAGAAAAAAAGATGGGATCAGTGTGAAGCGTGAAAGCGAAGCAGACCAAACACTACAACAGCCACTTATTTCAAGGGGAGTGGGGGAAGTGTGAGATGACAAGAATGAGCTTTAGTCAGTGATTATGATAAAAAAAATGAAATAAAACCTTTTACATACACCTTTAAATTCTCTTTTTTCCTTTGAGGATGTTCACTCAAAGAGTGAATGTAGATTGACACCTGAGAAGTGCCATTCCTCTGTGTTGTGAAATAAAATAATATGATATGTCATTTAAAAATACTGTTTTGTTTTATTTGTAGTTGTTTGTAAAGTATTGTTTAAGATTAATATACCTTGAGGAAGTTGTTCCTCAGCTTGCGAGGCTACAGTTGCCATCTCCAGGTCATCTTCCTCCTCAAAAAAATCCATAGCAGCAGAGTCTGTAAAATAACATAAAACACTAAGCACATGTCACCAACACACTTGTATGTGTTAAGTGATACTCACCACATGTAAAGAGCTGTCTCCGGGCTGCGGACTCAGACGCAGGAGGTACACGTGGTCCTGCAGCTGTTGAACACGTATTTTCGTCACACATATATACTGCATAATATATACTGTAATGATTTTAAAGCTAGCAAATTACTTACAGGGTTTGGCTGGAGACAAAATCTTTTGTGCCAGCAGTGAAGCAGATAAATGCTTCCCCCGCGCCAACAGGGCCTTCACATTGGTTGCCGGCAGAGGCCTGTTCTTAGTGGCAGTAGGTGGAGGAGGAACAGACACAGTGGCAGTGGGCACAGCAGCAGTGGGGACAGATGCAACGGGCACAGTGGTGCTGGGCATGTGGGCTGGAGCCTGCCTCTTCAGCACGTATGCTTTGAAAAGGGCCATGTTAGTGTTAGGCCTGGCCTTTGCCTTCTTCAGGTAGGTGATGAGAGCCTGAGCCTCCTTGCTTGGGTCCTCATACACCTCCTTCATTGACCTACCCTTAAAATCCCCAAACTCCACCATCAGACATCCAGAGTCTCCTGTCCTCTGGGCCTCCAGCAGCATGGCCTGTTTTTTCTGATACACCTCCACAGCATCGCCAACCTCCCTGATCTGCGAGGTGTATCTGAGGAACAGGTGTTTGTTGGCCGACAGCGGGTTGTCCCTCTCCTCCTCCCTCAAAATGCTGCTGACCAGATAGCAGGCATACCCCAGTGAGTTCTCCAGCAGCCACAGGAACCTCTGACCCTGGTGTTTCCCAAACTGGATCTTGCAGTGAGCCAGAACCAGGAACTGGTCTCCAGGATTCCCTCCATTCTGCCTCACAAAGGCAGTGGCCTCAGCCAGGACCTCCTCCTTACTCCTGGCCCTCCCTGCCAACACGATCTCCCTTCTATTGGCCTCCTCAGTTGGCCCCATAAGGAGTCGACCCTCAGAGGTTCTTCGTAAAACTGGGTATGCATACATTATCTGAAAGGACTCAGGCATAAACAGAACGTTACATAGCTGTCATATTCCAACTGAAAGTATTTTACTACAGTATTTGTTTTTTATGTAATTAATTATTATAATATTATAATAATTAATGATTATTATTATTATGTTCATAAGCATTATTGTTGTTTTTTATACACAACTGTGAATCACTTTGAATTGCCTTGTGTACAAATTGTAAATAGTAAGATTAACTTATTAATAAGAAAATAAATAACACTTCTTGGTACAATCTTGCTGATATCATGCCATGCTTAAATGGTTTTGTTTTATTTAGATTTTGTGGCAGAGATTACTACGAAACACAAAATATAACATAAAGGCGTATATGACAATTCATAATAATATGATCATCAAATAGATCAAATTGAGAATCATTTGTATCCTGAAACCTAAAAAATTATATTGGTGATTTAAAAAAACAAACATGTTTTTGCCTATTCATATCTTTTTAAATATGTATAACATAGTATTTAAAAGTATAACATAAATATGTATACTGATGTATAACATAGTATAGTATAACATTTATGAATTAAACGTTTTTTTTTTTTAAGTTTTTGTATAAATTTTCTTGTGCTCAAAATAATGTAATGACACAAAAAATACTAAATGAACAAAAAAAATGGTTTAAGGAGGATATAGCTTAATTAGCGGTGGGCTAATTATCTTGACAGTAGTTACATGTTTTTTACTGTATTTATCATGGAAAAGTTGCAGGTTCATATGTACAGAAGAAAACGTGTGCTATTACACGCTAGATAGCTTTATTGGCATGTTTAATTGTCTAAAAATACACACTGTTTATAAATAAATAATGATCGATTATACAGTCGTGAAGAATAGCCTTACCTGTTGCGAAGATTGCAAAGATGACGATAATAATAGCGGTCGCCGATTGGTCAAAAGTAAGCCACAGGAGCAGAGCCAGGAGAGAAACGCGATTGGTCAAAAGTAAGCCACAGGAGAGAAACGCGATTGGTCAAAAGTAAGCCACAGGAGAGAAACGCGATTGGTCAAAAGTAAGCCCCAGGAAAGAACGCGATTGGTCAAAAGTAAGCCCCAGGAGAGAACGCGATTGGCTCACGTGGGCTTACTTTGGGCTTACTTTGGCTCAACCGGCAGGATGCAGCAGGCGCAAGCGAGAGGTAGCGGGATCGATGCCCGCATTCTCCATGTGGTGTACCTCTCTTCAAAGGGGCACTCCATAAATGAGCTTCTGAGGATCTTCACCGTCAAAAAGTTTGGTTGTTTTTTCGGACGAGGTCCTGCTCAAATTCCTGGCAAGAGCAGGACCCTCTCAGATCGCTGGATTCAGAGTCCAGAGTGCAAACCATTGAACCTTGGTATGGGTCGCCTTTCCCCAACGGCTGAAGAGATTA